CAGTTCCCTCCCAGTTCCCATCCCAGTTCCCTCCCAGTTCCCGTCCAGTTCCCTCGCAGTTCCCTCCCAGTTCCCGTCCTGTTCCCGTCGAGTTCCCGTCCAGTTCCCTCCCAGTTCTCTCCCGGTCCCATCCTCCGGTTTCCGCTTCCCGGCTTTGTTTTGGCTGTTTTGGTGCTGTTTTGGAGCCGTTGTTGCGTTTTCCACATCTCAAGCCTTGTTTGCCTGTGCACCTGGCTGTGCCAGCACAAACAATAGCCTTACGTGATGTCCCGCAGTGCGTCGGCCCAAGATTCTCTCAGGAATTTGTAGGAAGATGACCAAGCGGAAGCGATGTGATTCTCCTGAGGCCGCTCGGGCGGCCGGAACTTCCGGAGCGGGCCCAATGGATGTGAGCTCCTGTTCCGGAGGCGGTGCAGCGGCTGCGACAGCAACTGGATCCAACGGGTCCGGCTTGGGCTCCCCCGCAACGGCTGCAAATGCAAATTCGTCCCTCACTGGCTCCGTCGGGCAGATCTGGAAGTGGTGTTGGAAGAAGACAGTGCAGGACGGCGGCGAAGTTGTGTGGTGGTGGCAGTGGTGGTCGGAGCCACGTGTGTGAGCCACAAGTGTGGAGGCGAGACACGAAGTGAGTTAGTTTTTTTGGTGCTGAATACAGAATGTATCCCAGCCTCACGACTAACAGCCTGATGTGAGTAGCCATAGCAAGCTGCGAATTCAGCTGCATGCTCTTCGATTGCAGGTGGAAAATGTAGCATTTGTTTTCTTTGTGCAAAGGCATGCCAGGTGTTGAATGAGTGCAGAGACCGACCGCCCGTCGATTCGGTTCACAAGCTGGGGCTGGGACAAGACTTCAGGGTTGGAGTGTGTGGTGTGTGGCTGTGTGTCCTGTCCATGGAGGGTGCATGTGGAGCCGCAGAAGAAGCAGGCCCTGCCACAGCTGCCGCCAGGCTGGGTTGGACCCAGCTCCGGCAGCAGCTGTGGGAGCTAGGGGCTGTGTTTCGAAAGAGGAAGCACGTGCCCTTGGTGTCTGAGCCTTGTGTGGGCCTGAGCCCATTCAAGACCTGGGCAGAGCAGTCCTTTGAGCCCTTGCCAGGCGACTTGCACCGTCACCCTGTCGTAAATTGTTACGACACAGACAGTGGCTTGCTGGGTCATTGGAAGGATTTTCCAGGTGCACACATAGGGCCAGAGCACTCAATAACAGACGTCCCCCTCGACAAACTCGAGGATTCAGAAGG